ACTTATAATCTTCCTTTCTCCAGCTAGTCCTCAAAATTTATGATAAACATCTTATTAAGATATTTAAGTCACTTAAGCGTCTTAATAAGTTTTTTTTACAATTTCTGTTGCCCCTCAAAAAGTGGCTGTCCACTGAAAAATTTAAAAAGTGGTTAATACAAGCTCTCCAAAGCCATGCTCATGCAATTTCTAACTCTTAAGATCCGTTTGTACTGCGTAATACTAAGAATTACATATCGAATACAGAAAATGAACAGGACGTGGTAGATACTGCAATAATAAATTGCTTTTAGTTCTCAGTTCAGATTTGAATATATTAAACACGAGCAGCACATAAAAAAATACAGTGAAAAGTTTAATAATGCACTATTAATAATTGAAGGATCCATAGTCGAGTGTGAATTCTAGTTTGTAAGTCTGCCCACTTCAGGAAGGAAAATAGTTCCTAAAACCAAACCATTAAATAGACACGGACAGATTTTTTTAAATAAAAATGTATACTTCATGACATTTTAAGATTCTCAATATCCTATATCCTTATGTTCTTTCATTATCTGAGAAATAATTAAAATAAATGATGAAACTGGAATCTAACTAAAAGGACATTGTTGGTGCTAGCTCTTATTGGCAATATATACCAGTTCTTATATATGAAGTCCCTGAACTGCTAATAAAAATACTTAAAACACAGATCTACAACAAATTATGTTGCAAATCAGGTTATCATTATCTTGTATAAACCATGGAAATTGGAATCATGTGAGCAGAAGGTTAGATTAATTCTCCATTCTCATTATAAGCACAGGTGTAGCACAAACACCATGTGAAATAACCAATTAAAATGAAAAAAAAAATCTGCTTTTTCATTAGCTGCCTTCACTGCATGACCAATTAGAAAATTATTTAATATTAATATTCTGCATATACCAAAAGTAATTTTCATAGTAACTAACATAGGTAAGAGAGCAAAAAAACAGCTCTTTATCTATGGTAGTGTTCATAATCTGCAGGCTCTTCAAGGGGAGGAACTCTGTCTGATAACTTTTTTTTAAAGCACTTTTAAAAACATAATATTTTATGGATGTGATTTGTACTGTTTAAAAATAGGAGGAGTGTTTTTAACAGATGAGAAGCTAAGGCTCAGAGAAATTAAGGTGACTTATTTGAGGTCACTTGTTAACCAAGAGATGTTAATAATTTGCTGAATGACACACAGCTGGCAAAACATAGTGAGCACCCGGGTCTCTAACATACTGACCGGAGCATGGCCACTACTGTGCCACCCATCTAGAATATTCCAGACTAAATAGATATCTAAAAATGAACTGGTTTTGAGCCAGTCACCACTGGCAACAGTCCTACTGTTGAGTCTGGGAACAAGCATGACTGAACATGTTGTAGATTGGGGATTCTGATGACTGTACTCTTTGTATATAGACGACAATAAGGTTACGGATAAGAAGATCCAGTGACTTGAGTTATCTGCATTCCAAAGCTTGCCTCCTTCACACCTAGACATTCAGACTTCCAAAGATCAGTTCATGATAACCAATTCAGGTTTGAATCCATGATTATTAAACCCATGGAATCATAGAAAACTTACAACGCAAGTTTGGACGAAGCTTTAACTTAGCTTGGTCACTGACATGAATCCCCTCTCTGATATGCCCACCAAGTAGATGGGGAGCCTCTGCTGGACTGTTCCTAATACCGCACTAGCCACCTTACCTGAGAGTCCACTCCGTCTGTGGGCAAGACAACTGTTAGAAGGTTCTGCCTTACTTGATCTAAAATTCTTTCACCAGTACAACTCCTTGGGGTAACTGAAACAATTCTAACCTCACTTCTTCAGGATGGCCTTTCAAATATTTAAACTATGGCCATCATGCCCCATAGGCTTCTCCTCTCTTCTCCCTAGGTTAAATATCTCTGATTATTAACAAGTTCCTTCTAGAATGTGAGTCCTTCTGGGATTTGGAGTCCATCCACCACTTGGGCCACTCTCTGCTCAGTATGCACAGACACATGTCTGTGTCCCTCTGAAAGTCTTCAGTGGACAAGACTAAATGCAGCTCTTCCAGGCCTGTTCTGGTCCCCATGTTGAGAGCAAGCACCTCACCACAGCCTCTTGGCTAAGGGCCCACAGGTCCTAGGTGCTATGTGCTTCTCTTTTGGTGGCAATAACCATTTCTGTTATTGACAACACAGATGTAGCCTACCTATAGGATATGTAGATATAAAGATGGGAATCCTTTCATTAAATAAAATAAAAATTTTAAAAACACTGAAAAATTAAGAACACCTAATCACTTTGTCTGAACCGTTTGACAGCATTAGTAAGTATACTTGGAGCTTCTCAGTTCTGAAAACTTTAATTTAAAACAAATTTTTTTCAAAATAATGAAGATGATCGATACATATAGAACATAATAAGCTCTCAGAATGTTACTGAATTATCATTCCTATACTTATATGAAACATACTATCTGAGCTCACAGTGGACATCTTTATCTAAAAATAACTAAGTAAACAGCAAAAGAATTCATTTTTTTAAAACAACATCACTTTTCAATCTTAAAACCTTCTCAACATTTGATTTTCTTTAGTGTGTTTTATCATTATCCTAGACTATCTTATATGTATTGTCTTTGGAATTATGCTACATACAGCAAAGCCATGTGTTTAGCTGGCTTCGGGATGAATTCAGATACACAACATTTTCCTTCTGGGCAAAGTAATAAAACGACATTCTTGCTCCTCCCACTATAAGTCAAACAGAGGTCAGTTCCCCCATCCCTGTATCTGTTTAAATAAACTGGTCCAGCTGTTTGTTTCTAAAACGCCCTTTGACCTTGTGTCTCATCCTCCCAGCTTTTGTGACAGAATGCTTTACTTTCCATTGTGGAAGATTCTAAATTATCAAGAATTTTCTAAACACTGAACCGAAAAAAGACCTTTAGATTTTATGTGAACTTACTTCCCTTCTTAAAACACTGTCATTTCAAGAAGCATCAGTAAAATAATCATTTTAAGCTCATATATGTGTGTGTTCAAATATATATCTATATTTATGTAGGAACACATAAATATATATTAGAGCTTCAACATAAGAAACTGTGTTTTCGAAGAGAAATAAACAAGAGAATGACAAAATTCCAGTTTGGATGTACAGTGAAAAACACATTTTCCAAAAACCACAAAACAGTTTAAGATATATATCCATGGAATACACACAATCTTTAGAATTTTCCATATTGATAAGACTTCTTTAAAAAGGTTTTTAGTTTAAAGGTGTAAAAACTTTTACAATTTTACAGTTGATGTCCAAACATTACAGCCCTTAAAACTCAGATGTTTAATGTCAGGAATACAGGACAACACGATAGTTTTTCTTACACATTAAAATATTTTCACACCTTAGTTTAATAGAATGTAGCTGGAATTCACCATAAATTGGACATTTAAAAAGGTCGGCTTTTTAGTTAAGTATGCTTTAAGGTTGGGAAACATCTTGTTTGCAATTCCATATTATATTCTGAACATCAAGGTATATGGTTTTTTTTAATCTCATTTTACTTTGAAATCTCAATTTTATTCTGTGAAGTACTTTTTAAGAACTGGACACCCTGTCGGCGATAGATGACTGAACTAGAGAAAGAATTCTTACGTTTTCTTTTTTCATAGAATCATGGATTCGAATTGCTTCCTGTGATGAAACTATCTCCTGTCTCAAAACAAGAAATTTTACAAAGAAGGAGAATGGATTGGTTTGATAGCTTTATTCTATGTCACAATAAACAGAGATGTATTTCTTTTTACCTAGTTATTTTTTAGGATTCAAGTCCTAATAAAGGGGAGTAGTGGGAGGTTGAAAGGGGAGCAAAATCTTCACAAATCTGAGACATGGGATCATCTAAAAATTAAATTTTGTTCTTTGTACTTTTTAAATAGGAATCAGACAAGCAATCAGAGAATGGGGGATGAATCCTGAGTTATGCTAAAAAGATAAACAGGAAGTTTTGTTTTATTCTTTCTTTTCTTTGCCCCCTCCATGTTTACTTATCATTAGACTTTTTAATTCTTTTCATTCTGCTGATTCCACCTATCTCCTTCCACTCTCGGCCTCTGGATACCTGCATGGTTTTCTGAGCAAGATCTAGTAGAACAGCTTTCTAAAGGTGACCTTTGTTCTTTTGTTTATCCTCCACTCCTTTCCTGGTAACTTCTCACAAAACTGGCTTGCTAAATTTAGTTTCGTCTTCGTGAGAACCAGGAGGGGTGAAAAGATCATAGTGGGCATCCTTCAGAACCAAAACACAAGG